GTCAAATTTTGAAAGCATTTTTCTTTTGACCATTTTTCGATAGTTTGGATTTTACGTTGTCAATCCATTTTCCGTTTGGAGAGTATGGAAGCTTTCTTCTCGTAATACAAAGCTTGCTTATACAGAATTCTGGAGACAGGAGACAGTTGTGAACTCTTATGTACACCAACATTTTTCAACAAACCATGTTCTGAAAAAACGGCAAATAAAAACTGATATTACATTAACTCATTAATATTACATACTGCGTGCTACAGGATCATTTAACCTTATTTGAGAATTTTCAGATGTCTGACGGTACTGAATTGCACCCAATTCATTATTTTCATCGCCTAAAATAGAAATACAGCTAAATGTGATACTAAATTATGCTTTTTATGAAAATTAAAATACATGAATGTTGACTACTTAAACTCTGTATTCATGAAAATATACTTACCAAAATGTATAAAGGTAGAACTGGTTGATGGACCAGGATTATTTGGTGTTTAATCAGGTTTAATTTTGCTGTGGTTTAACTTTATAACTTTTTATTTGGCAGACAATAAACAAACGTATTAACATATGACAAACGTCAAAAGTACATAAACAACAAATCAAAACAAAATGATACCTGCATTACCTGCGTTTGAAATAACAAAAACTTAATAGCTCCATCTTACGATATGGAGGCCGAAGTTACAGTGGAATGTTAGGTATGCAAATGGTTGTATATCAGATTTCATGCTATGTTAATGTTAGACGACACTAATTGTAACAAGATTTCGCAGCGTTGCCAACTTAACATATCTAGTTACTTACTCAGTTTAATATCAAAGTGGTGTCGCGGGGAAATTTAAAATACTTTGTAAGTAGTTCTCATTAAATAAAATAATACTAAAGTAATAAAATGAATGCATAATGACACCCAATAGTAATAAATTAAGCGTCAAATTTTGTAGCACTTTTTCTTGTTTTTTATGTAAATGTAACGTAAAATTAATTGTATATCACGAGCTTATACGTATTTTCCACAAATACTAATTTTAAAATCACAAAAAATCATCTGCTAAACTACCAACTTTTACCAAGTTATAATAGTATTATATTGTTTAGTTTATTTTGCTAAATAAGTTTATTAAAGGTAAGTGAATTGGTGCAATAAGTATTAAAGATTAAAAACGTTGACTGAAATATTGAGCGAATATTTCAATCAACACCAAAATATTTTTTTTAGGTTAGAAAGAATACACAAGGTATATTTTTTTTACCGTGGCAATATTCCTTAATGATTATCTTAATATATACCTAAAAATGTTAATGTACTTAGGTAAAACAACAATTGTGCGGTATCAGGAATTAAAAGGTCGATGAAGAAAAAATTAGAGGGCAGTGCAGATGAATAGATCAGAAGGATCAGTAGTTGCAGTTTGACAATGATTTCACAACAATCAACAATCAACCCCTGGCTGATAACACCGCTGCATTTTTTTT